AACGCAAAATATTTCAGTTCAGAATGACACTGTCAAAAACTGGCATTTTATGTTATTTTAGTTTACCATAATGCTTATCAGTACATTCAGCAGTACACTTTAACCATGTTTCAAAGACAAAAGAAGTAATTATGAAATTACATACAGATATACTTAAGTCCTACTTTAATTTGTTAAAAAAAAAATCTAAAGTTCTAACATTCTTAAAAACGAATTGCATTTAAGATAAATTTAAACTATAATACATTTTAATTTAATTGCGATCAAAATGTCCAAAAACATAACATTCAGTTTGCATTTAAGTATATCCTTTTAAAGTATATCATTTCTGTCTCAAGTACTCTTTAAAAGTATTCTAAAGTGTACTTCCTTTTCACAAGGGTATATATGAGCCTTGATCTCATGTGACACAATTTTCCCAATTTGTCAAAAGTATTTTTTCTTTCATTAGGGTTTTTTAAGTGTACCAATAACTGAATCAGTAAATGTTACTGAAATGTGGTACAAAATGTATGGAATGTTGGCATGATATCTATGCCCTTAATGTAAATACGTTGACTTTCCTCACAAACAGGTCACTGCAATGATGGGGGAACCATTTAACTTCTCAGCCAGAGCTAGCTCTCAATTATTTACAGTCACCTGTTTAAAATTTAAAGTGCCACACATTAACGTTCCCAGCACCTACACTTTCACCCTGACCATCCTCCAATGATCCGCCACCCCTCCCCATCCTAGAAACAGCCAAAGATAATGAGTTGCTTTCGCCAGTGAACTGGAGATGTTAAATCAAGCCAGGTCAGAGGAGATGGCAGGCGTCACGGTAAGGGCACAGGCCAGGCATTTCCGATTACGTTTCGGTCTTAATTGGTGGGAAAAGCAAAAACAAATTCAGCAACAATGTTGTAGCACATTGTGTAGAGCGCTGGAACTTGGGGCAACAGAAGCTGGTGGAAAATATTTGCTGAAAATAAAAAAAGAAACCCAGTGGTGGACAGTACCAAAGTATTTTTACTTTGTGTATCTGTACTTTATCAGAGTATTTTTTTGTTGTTGAAACTTTTACTTCAAACATTCCAATGCATAATATACTACTTTTTACTCCACTACATTTAATAAAAACATTTCGTTCCTAGTTATTTGAAACCGCCACACGCTCTGCGACTTGATGGTGTCTGATTCTTGAACGACCTGATTCTTTTCAGTTAACCTGTTAAATCGGTTCACAAATCGCACTGAACATTGAGCTTGAGTGATGGCGTGAAAAGCAAGTTACTAATGGGGAATTTTATGCCCATCCAAAAAATCCAAATTAATACCCATGCATCTTCCCCGCCGCTGTAGCAATTTCAAAAGATGTTAAACTAGTATGTTTGCATAGCGTTCTTCTTAAAATATTAACACATTTTGATGTTTTCTATATTGTACGTTTATATTATTTTGTCAACACACATTTACACAAATTTAGTTTTTCCTCATTTCTACTATATGGTATATTTTATTATTTTCACTTGTGTGCACACTTGAACTATAGGTAATTATTAGTAGGGTAGTATCAGTGAATGACACGTAATAAAATTAAATCACATTGGTTTGAATATAGTACATATGTGTGATATTTCAGTGTCATTTTTTTTTTTACTCATTTACTCATCTACATATGCATTCTTATACTTTCCAATTCAACAATACTGGTCCAATTCATAGAACAAACACAATCTTTAATTTCCTCAAGCAAAAAACACACTATACAGCAGTGTTCATGTTTTCACGGTGACAGAAAATTATCAGTTGCTTCATGTCCTAAACAGACATTGCATGTGACATATTACTGCAAATAAAAATAAAAATAATGAATTTCCAATATAGATCCTGGTTTATGTAACCACACTCTTGATCAACATCTTTAAAAAAAATCAAACTGTCTGACTAACCTGGAGCATTACTGGACCCGCAAAGCAAGCTCAGGAAATGTTAGAAAAGATAAGATGACTCTGCTAGACTAATTCATTCTGGTGGCAGAGAGAGAGAGAGAGAGAGAGAGAGAGAGAGAGAGAGAGAGAGAGAGAGAGAGAGAGAGAGAGAGAGAGAGAGAGAGAGAGAGAGAGAGAGAGAGAGAGAGAGAGAGAGAGAGAGAGAGTAGAGCAGCAGAGCAGTGACACAGGGTAATCCTCCGGGGTCTTGCATTAGCGTGCTAAATTAAAGGCGGTATTAGATTAAATTGGCTCTCCGATTTCAGGGGTGTAAGTAAAATTCTAATTTGCATTTTCCACTGCCGCTTAAGATATAATTAGTTCAGGGTGATTCCCAGGTGCAAAACACTGACAGCAACATCCAGCTGCTTACTGGGAGTTTATCATTTGTTAGCAGCAAAAGGTGCAATCAGCTGGGTCTACATATGCGTGTTTGTGGGTTGTGTATCTGTTCGTATATGCTTATTGGGAGCAAGTCAATTATAAATAAATAAAAAAGAGTGCATCTTAGTCTGAATGTGTCTGCAGACGCTTGTGTAAAGACACATGGTTCTCCTATACTGGTCATTACACATTTTGGCTCAATATAAATTAATGAAGGAACTGTGTGTGGGCAGAGGATGCAAATCAGTCTTACAGCAAACTCTGATCATACCTCACACATTGAATACAAAAACAAAGAGTCTAAAGACCTATCACGAGACAAAAAAAAAAACATAACCTTTATAAATAAATGTGATCAGGTTTCTCCTATATTTAATTGATCAAAAATACAGTAAAAACAGTAATAATATGAAGTGTATTTACAATTTAAAATAACTGTTTTTTATTTGAATATATTATGTAATTTATTCCTGTGATGGAAAAGCTGAATTTTCAACAGTCATCACTCGTCTTCAGTGTCACATGATTCTCCAGAACTAATTCAAATATGCTTATTGTCAATTTAGAAAACAGTTGTCTTTAATTTAAAAAATATTTCTTTATAAGAATGTAAAAGTCTTGACTATCATTTTTGATCAAATGATTAGCATTGTAAGGATTTACTTAAAATATGAACATATATACAGTTATTATAGTTTTTTTGTCTTTGTCTTCCACAGCTCCCCAATCTATATTTCTAGGAATGGTCACTGAGCATGATATCTACACCTTCGTACCCTTCTAGATCTAGATAGATTAATCTCTGTATCAGTCCATCTACACCTAAAGTAACATGTTCATTAAAACTTCCACCAAGGAAGTTTGTGCTACAGAACTCAAAACTGTATTCTACAGGACAGAACAGTATTCCACAACCCAGAATAAAATTCCAAACTGCCATCATTTCTTAATTTAAGACATATGAATACACTTAAGGTGAAGTCGGTTACCTCTGTTCCATAAGAGGCACCAAATGGTTAAGAAAAAAAAAAAAAAATTACCTGTTTTCAATCAGGTTTTCAGACCAGAACACGTCCCCGTCTGCCACTGGTCAGCCAAACTGACAGGATATTTAAAGACTGAATATTTTGAAAGTGCCGCAGAGGAGCGCTGCTTAAAGTTTTAATGGGAAATCAAACTGTAAATGGTTTACATATTGTCCCTCCATATTAAGCTAAGTATTTTAAAATCGAAAAATCTACACACTTCACCTTTCACACATGACAACTACATCAACAATGCCTAGTTTGTGATTAGCAACTTGGCCTGTACATTCATGGTAAAGTAATGAGAAGAAAGTAGAACAACATATACTACTTTATCCTAGCTGTTACAACACCAAACATATGTATTACAAACTGTATTCACACACAACCTTAACCTGCACACAAGTCAACACATTTAAGAAACCTGTACTAAAAATCTTTCCATGCACTTAATTAGCAGGTGGAGAATTACTTTAGGAAGTACTTCTATGTGAATATATGCTTAGGACGGTGCTGTTTACACTTGGTTTTTACATTTCTCTCAAATGCATTTCCTGTAACCACTTGTGATTGTATTCATTGAATGGAATGTTACTGAATGTTGGCATCAGACATACAAGTCTAATGTGCAATTTTTAAACCTTTGTTTTGGTGCATTGATTGCATATTAGATGAGTAGGCAGTCATTCGATGTTGTCCGATTAGCATTAGGACACATTAGCGTTTACACTACAAATATATGTGCCTTTATGTGTCCCTATGTGTAATTGTGTAAGATCAGATAATGGTGCATTGTAACCTGTTTACACTTGTGCTTTGCACTGTCCACATCACCTCACACAAGACGGATTTTCATGCCATGTGTAAACAGAGCCGTTGTTTGCTGAACTAAATTATTTCAAGAAATATATCCTCCATTTGTCAACTCTCATGCAAACATACACACCAATACACCCAAATTTGTATTTTTAAGGTATTTGTTGGACAGTTATATTTGTATACTTGGACCAAAATTATGGATAAATCACTGCCTGTAAGCCCTTGAAAATTGAACATTTTATAGAACTCTCATGTCAGAAATAATAAAAAGTGGTTAATCCGTTTGATTGTTTTTGCTATTTTCTTTTCAGTGTGTAAGGACATCAGGATGAGAATCTAGACTTTCCACATCCCAAGTGTGATAGAAGAACAGCAGCAGGAATTTTCCTATTGCTCTCATTGTGGGGGAGATCGACTAGCCTCGTCAGGAGACAGTTTCTATAATTGGTTAAAATGACCAAGTGCAGAGAAGGATGGCTCTCTGCTGAAAACCATTTCCCAGCTCAGCTTGGAGCAGAGCCAAGCCCTGGGTTGTTCGGATGCGTTCCAGCCCCAGCCTGACTGGCAGCAATTAGGGGTGTCTGAGCCAAGCTCAGCTTGCGCTCCGCACAAACACCCCTAATTACTGCCAATTAGGCTAGGCGGGTAGGCAGATTTGAGAAGCCGGGGGGATGTTCAGGCATGGGTGGGCATGGAAACAATTTTCAAGGGCTTAGAAACGTGACTAGAAGGAAAGGTTAATGCTTTTGAGTGCACGGAGGGAGGGAGGGGGAGTGTGGTGTCTGAGCCGTCGTCTCACCTCTAGTGATGAGCCAGGCTTCTTTTTTAGCTCCTCGCATTTCCGAAACTTGCAGATCTGGTGGCCCGTCTTACGGTTCCGACAACTGCTGCACACTCCACAGTTGATTAGCCTCCTGCAGGGCGCGCAGACCCCACACCTTTTCCTTTTCTTTTTTGCTGGGTTTCCGCTGGATGCAGAGGAATTATTCTGTGGGCAGTCTGCCAGATTGGCAATTTGAAACGCACTGTCTGTAACGGCTGCTGAGGCTGCGGGGGAGTGAAGGGCTGTCATGACGATGACCCCGGGAGGTAATGAGATGCCCCCTAAAGCCGGAATAGCGGAAAAAGTTCCAACACGTTCCGGGAGATTCATTATCTCTGCTTCAGCAGCACCGCATTTCAGCTTGTTCATGCATTCTCCTGCTAAAGGTCTGCAGTGTTCAGGGGATAAGCTAGAGAGGAAATTATTATTTGCCATTTGCAGCGTCTCTGGCGGCACGCCAGGTTTCCCCGGCCTTTGGGAGTCATTTCTATGCATGCTGGTCCTATTAGGGTTTATTGCTGCTGATTTCCTTCCCCAGAGCATGCTGTTATCACAGTTCCAAGGGGACACACCGATTCTGGCACTGGGAAAAATTGGTGTCGTTATGCGGGCAATCTTAGCAGTCTGTGGAAATGCCCCATTAGTTTTGTAAAAGTTTGCAAACGACCTGTACCTTTCCATTTCGGCATTGTAATCCAACAGCTGGCTTAATCCACCGTCCTGAAGATTATCCTTTTGCAAGAGTGACACGTCTGTGCTTTGGCCGCTTTCAATGCAAAGTGCATTGTTAAGATTAGACATGACTGCTAAGTTTCAAGCGCTCACAAGAAATATTTGGGGGAGGGTAGCAGTTGGTTTTTGTCAAGGTGAAGCTTGTTAGACACAAGACGTTACCATCCTGGTTTATCCTCTCCACTAAAACAAGAGAACAACAATTACGGATACAATTGACAAACATTTACTGGTCATCATCTGCCACTTCCAAATTACTCAAATCTAGTGAAAGTTTTTAATTCACACGTCAAAATTGTGAATTAATGATTGCTTTAGTCATAAAATTGGGATTCTAATCTTGTGACTTACCATTGTAGCTATGAAACTTTAATGTTGCATAACAACAGAAAACAGACATTTGCATATGTGAAAATCATATGATTAGTACAGTAACATTACAGTAATTTTAGAATAGGACCACTACAAATAAGTAGCATCATAATTTCATGCACATTTTACGTAAAAAAAATATATTTTTAATAATATCTTAAATATAAGCAGCCTCAAACTATAGAAATCTCGTATTTTCACAAAATCACATGATCATGCATCAAGCAAGTTCTTATGAAAATATGTAGAAAAAATGAATCACATTGTCAAGATTCACCCAATGATACAAAGATGCTTTGTTGGGCTCTCTCCAACCAAGTCTCAGACCTTGACAACTGTAGTGTGTAGGGGGATCCATTTCCGATCTCCCAGTCCGGCTGGGTTTTGTTGCCACAGATAAAAGCCCATTAGACACATCTTCCTCTTCTTGCATTACCTTTCTCTAGACTCTCTCACTGACTGCCTATACTACACTGCAAGAAGACTACAGCAATTTAAAGCACTGTGAACATCTGAATCTAAATTTAATGGTACATTTCCACCTGAGAGACAATACTGAAAACCCATCCAAGACCCTGCCATTTATCATTTGAGACCTCACATGAAGCAAGTAATGTTTCTTTATTAACTTTGTTAAAGAGGCTTATGCTCCTTTATAACTTCCTTATTAAAGGCAAAAAGAACAAAACTGAGTAGCAAATATGACTTTACACTTGCAAGCGTAATAAGTTTGATCTGTTCTGAGAAACAATCCACACTGTATTGATGATGCAAATTATTTGTTTACTATTATTATCATCGCTTGTTTTAAGTAAAAGATGCTTTTAAAACGTCGATGTTCAAGCTGTAAACAAAGTTCAGAGAATACGAAATATCCGATACTCAGAGGAGACAGAAAGAGGTCGAGAGTAGACAACTGTGCCTTCGATTACAGCCCGAGACACATATCAAATTGCATAATGGGATTTAATCACTCTGGTGCCTACAAAACCACCCGAAATAAATAATAAAACAGTGGACATTCAGAAAGCATGCGCCACTATCGCTAAGCCAGAAAAAAAGCAAAGAGCATCACCTACCAGACAATCCAGACACTAGAGCAGCACATTACTGCGATGAATACACAATAAACACGCGCCGAGTGATCACTACACAAACACCATCTTTACGCACAAAACGCCATTGTTAATGCGAAGAAAAGTAGAAGGAAAGGTATATGTTTGTGATGGCGTCCGGGTTAAGGCTGTTGTCCGTGGGGCGATGACTGGAGGTGAGGTGTCTCCTGTCGCTGTGTGTGGCTGATTGGTGCTGAGGTGAGGAGGATGGGGATGTGGACACCAACTGATCATTGGCTGGAAATTACTATAGAAACACCAGGAGCTCTGGGGAGGGGGATGCTCATCAATCGCCACCGGGAAACAGCGTGCTTTCTCTCGCTATCTGTTTGGTAACTCTTTACATTACAGTCTCAGAGAAAGATTACGTAATGAATTACAATATTAAGTGTATTTAAAAGCAGTTGCACAAAATATTTTCATATTAGCTTTAGACACCCTGGTTCATAACACTGTCAAAAAGACTGTCAGCTCAGGTTGTGTGACACAACAATTAGCTAAAGTACACTGGTTAAAACGAAATGTTAGTCTGGTAAACTAATGTGCTTCATGTGACAAAAACCTAAACACACTGGTTTTATTCAAGTCAAAATTATAATTTAATATGACTTGACTTCAATTAAATCAGCTACATTTATTTACACTAACAAAAGTCATTTTAAAGGTTAGAAACAGTACCATACAAGGGAACATTCCCTCAATGAAAATGAAAATTCCTTCACACTCATGTATTTTAAAACCTGTGGAATAGCCTACAAAATAAGCTATTATGAATAAAACCAGGGTCCTAAAAAATGAAAGTGAATTTTTATGAATATATTTTATGTTCCACTGAATAAATAATGCAGGTTTGGAAACAACATGGGTAAACTATCCCTTTAAAGTAACAAATGCACAATATCGCTAATTGTGTACTTAACATGCTAGGTTCTTTTGTATTTCTTAGTACTTGCTATAGAGTAATTACAATAGACAGTGTAAAGTATTTTCTATTCAGTTACTTGATGAGGTGTTTAAAGTGACTTCTATCTGAAGACATCTATGATAACATGTAGACAATTGAAATAGAATTGGGTGCTTAAAGCTGCAGTCCGTAGCTTTTCCTCTTTGTCGCCGTCTCTCTGTTCGAAATCTGTAACTGCAGTGATTCGCGGAATTATCATCTTTACGTGGGTTGTAAATCGGCATGAAACAGCGCGGATGAACACAGTGCTTTGAGGCGAGTGCTGCTGTCAATCACCGCGCTGTGTGGATACTGTCATACAGAATCACAGATTCACTTTTTGAAAGTTTGACCACCAACATAAGAATTTTCATAAGAAAATGTCTTCTGAACAAGTAAAATCCATTTTTGTTCTGACCAACTAAGGGGGAAAAAACATTCGACATGATAAGCTTCGTTAGATTTAATCAACGCGATTTACAGCAACCGTGCAAATTATAGCCTACTTTGTTCTCAAATTGTTCATGTTAACAACATCAGCATTGCGTGACTAATGTTAAATTTAATGTGTTTATGGTTAGCAGCTACCTGTGTAGTTCAGAATTCATATTCTCCATAATAGCAAAACGAGAAAGGCACAACAAAGGAAACCCCATAACTGTGTGAATTAAGAAAACGTACTGTTACACGATTGAACTATTGAAATGTCTTACTTGTTCAGCAGAAAAAAGCCGTCTCTTCTTCCGTTTTGAACCCCTTCAAAACAAGGAGTTCACTCACTTTTCAAAAGCCCCGCCGATGTTTAAATCCTTGTGTTCGCATGAGACGGTTTCTTTCTCTTTCTCTAGCCACCTTAAATCCGAAGTACGAAGTCTTTTGGGTTTTATAACTGCTGAATCTCCAGTTGACACTGATGATTGTTGTTTGGATCTCTCTGGATGCCATAAGTTTAATAATGTAAAGTGCTGCGAGAAAAGCCTATACATCTAAACATCTCGTCACGCGCAGTATAGCCGGCTAGCCGAAACTCCTTCTTTATGTGTACGGGTGTGACGTAATAACGCAAAGACATGCTCGAATTTCCCGCGGAAACCCACCAGTACCACTGGAATTAAAATCATTATTACAAGCTAACCGTTTTGAATCTATATGGCAAGCAGATAGTTTTGACCACTGGCAGAATAAGTTTTTTTTTATATAATTATTTTGGATTATTTTTAACTTAAAAAAGTTACGGACAGCAGCTTTAAGGTGAGACACTACAGGCAAAAACAGTGTTTTTTTCATGCATCTATCAATTTCGAGATTTTTGGCTTTTTGGCTTTTCATAAAGTGTTTTTTAGACTAGTGGACAGAAAACATCCAAAATACACTTTTAACTGTAGAGCACTTAATCTATTTGCATCTGTAGATTTCAATTGCAGTAGCCTATTTATATTTAAAGGCCGTTTTCTCAAAATGAGTTTTTCCTCATTGAGCCAGACATATCCACTTCAGCAACACTTACATACACCATACTTTACAGTTTTATTCTTATCTATATTCTGAAGTTTTTTACAGAGGGGTTTGGTCATATATAATTTTCCTGATTTTATACAACATTTTATTCCTAAAAAATGGCGAATTTATTATTTTATTTTTGGCTGTTTGACAGTATTTTCTGATTTGTGTAGTGTTAAAAAGAGATATCCAAAATCCCCTCTGTAAAAACCTTTGACTCTAATATGTAGTGATATGTATTAATATTCACTCCAAAAAAATTAAACAAGAATTATAAATCTGACTTCGTTCTAGAAATGTATATTTAATAGATGTTTTTTTTTGTTTTGTTTTTTACCCTACTCACCTGGGCTGTCTCACCTTAATTGAAACAGGAAAAATGTTTGAAATGTGCACTGAGATATTTTTGAATTTGTCAAATATAATTTTATTGTCATTGATTAATGTGTGTTTAAAACAAAAAAGACTGGAGTGGGGCTCTATTTTGTGTTCACATAAAGTCCCAACCAACAATAATCAATGTGTTGACACTACTGTACCTCTTAATTTTGTTAGAAGCATTGGCTGTGGATTTGAACATCTTTATTTTGCAATGTTAACCAAAACAAATGCTAATTTAATTTAATATTTGTGCTAGTTTGATATGCATTTTGTGCATACATTGTATATAACTGCACTCACATTACTGAATGTGTATTATTAACATGCCTGTACTAAAAGCTCAACAGTAAGGTCCAGAAGAAAGAATGCAATTCATTACATTTATTAATTTAAAAGGAGAACCATTTAAAAGCTCTTGGTGAATTCCTGGTGACAAACTACACTTTCTAAAATCCTGAAGCACAATCCACCAATCAGAGAAGTCCTGTTACCATAGATATTCAAGCAGGAACAGTGCACCCCCAGTGGCATAGGTGTCCCATTCATTTCCCGTTCATTTTCCCCATTGATATTCCAGATATTCATTTAAAAAAATGTAATACATTTGCAACCACATTTAATAATAAACTAAATCTTTTTATCAAAATAAGTATTCCATTTACAATATGATTAACTATTCAAATATATATAAAACAGAGGAAAACACACACACACGTTGGGTTTCCATGTTTTATGGGGACATTCCATTGACGTAATGGATTTTATACTGTACAAACTGTATATTATATCCCTATACACTAACCCTACCCCTAAACCTACTCATAACAGAAAACGTTCTGCTATTTTGGTCAAAATTTACTAGTATTACTATACTTGTGCATGGGGACATTTGGTCCCCATAATGTAGAGGATGCCAGGACCACACACATTTTTACTATGTTATAAAGCCCTTTTAAAGCAACACTAAGTAAGATTTTTTTACCTTAAAATAATGTTTCCAAAATCGTTTCAGTGGTTCATCAAGTCGTAACAGGGTGAAAGGCACTTATGCCTCCGCTTTGCGGTCCTATATCTGCTATAACCACGCTATGTAAGATTGCCAGATCGGGTCGAGTTTCTGTAGTTCTAATGAGACATAAGAAAACTACAAATTTGACTTGCTTTACGTCAAGCGTTACAACAATAGTCATTAGTGTTGTCAAAAATATCGATATTTCGATAAATATCGATACTGAAATATCTGAACGGTACCAATACTAATTTCCCGAAGTATCGATACTCAGGCGCGTTGACAAACACCACACGTGACGCACTCGTCTCATTCGCTCTGGTTAAATAGCAAAAGTGAAGTGAATGGAAAGATGGCGAGGGCGGCGCCCCCGCGACCGGCTTTGGTTGTTTGATAAAGAACACCGCGAGCGGGCATGTCGGAGAATAGCGCGGACACGCGTAAAAAACACACCGCGAGCGAGCATGTCGGAGTCGGAGAATAGCGTGGACACGCGCTACACACCGCGAGCGGGCATGTCGGAGAATAGTGCGGACGCGAGCGGGCATGTCGGAGAATAGCGCGGACACGAGCTACACACCGCGAGCGGGCATGTCCGGAGAATAGCTCGGACACGCGAGCGGGCTGCGGGCACCCAACAGATTGTTTGACTATCAATAATCCCTCACATCCCTCATTTTTTAAAAATGATTGTATAGGTGAAAACAGACTTAAGGAACAGGCTCCAGGGGTAGGCTACTATTTAGCAGCATATGCTCAGCATCAGGGGTGTTTGTTGTTTGGACAGACCTGCCCCCACTGCTAAAAAAAGTCCTCAAGGAAACACTGTAACTCTTCTCATTTGAACTTTTCTGAAACATTAACCAAGATGGCCTAGTATTGTTGTTGATAAGAGTCTGTCTCGTTTTAATTCTTAAAGTTAACATAATCTGACTGAGGAATCTTAGACAAGTAAATATTGTAACTGTGGTCAAATGTAAATTAACTGGTGCCTATTTACCTTTATTCAAAAATTATTATTTAATTCTGCAATTTTCCTTCATTAGCGATTATCATCAATTTGATTACACAGATATTAATTAAACTAAACAGCTATCTCTGAATTCAATAATGACATGCCTTTAACTGAAAATTGAATGTTTAATCTTATTATTATACATTACTGACTCTCTATCCTCCAATTTGATACTGTTAAGGGCTTTTTTGTTACAGTATATTTTAATCTTTGATAACAGTAGGTAATAAAACTACATCATGTTAGCTCTGGTCCAATTAAAAAATATAAACAAATAGAACTCAGGACATTTTTGTTCGTGTAAAATATACCTCATTGTCATGTTCTAGACTTGTTATATTTAGCTTTAAATTAAAAAAATACCCCCTTAATATTGTGGCAGCTTTT